TCGTGCAGCGTTTGTTGAGAACACAGAGTTTTATTTAGCTGATCTTGATGCAGCTGGATCACTGGCCATCCTCCGCGTAGACACGTTACTGCCAGGTTATCGATTGGTGTGAAGCACCGATAGCGATTTATTCATATTCCCGAAATTGGGGTTCGGTACCGTTAATTCATTTTTACTTCTTCTGCGTTTAGTGTTACCTGTTAGGTGCCTATAGCAGACGTACAGTTGGCTTTTGTTGCAGAGCCTGCGCCGTACGTGGTATTTTTCCAGCATTCTGCAGAGATGACCTCTGCCTAGGAAACTCTTCACAGAGATGAAGTCATATTAACTTAAGTCTGCTGGATATATACTACCATATAATGATATTCTGTATTTCTAAGATGGTATTTTTGGTACTGTAGGCTCTGTGCCATTGTTTTTTTTTATTTCACTTATTTTCAATTTTCAAGTACAGTGTAATATTCTGAATACGGTACTGCATAGATTTGCATCATGATGCTGACACTCTTCGGTGCTGTTCTGAGGCGTACCTGAAAAACAATACCAGATACTGATACTGTTCCAAACGGTTCAGATGTCACATCAAGAGAACTGCGTTGCGCAACATTTGTTTATTTAGATGGAGGTTAAGGATAACAAGAATAAAGAACCGTTTAGTAGTCTATATTGCGAACTACTGCAGTTTACTAAGCATAATATAGATTTGTGTACATAATTCATATTTTTTTTAAAATATTGCACAGCACAAGAAGAGTATACTGTACTGTGATTATTATAGTATAGTGTAATATTCTGTATAATAGTATAATGTGTGTATTGTTTTACTCTACTACTTACAGTGTGATGATGACGGCACGAGACCGTTAATTTATATACAATGCAATCAATTTGGCTGGCCGTATGATTGATGAATGACCAGTACTGACATTTCGCCGTGTCTCATGGACATTAGTGAAGGTCGAGATGCGGATGGCTTCGGGGGTGGTTTTTGTGGTTCGGAGCTATAAGGCGTTCGTACTAAACAGTAATCTTAGTTTCAGAAAGATCTATGAGATACGGGCCGTAGCGTCTTTACCGGTCATTCATCTGATTGATCATGTTTTGCTTTGTGCATAAATGGATACACCGTGTTTATGCTGTTTTTAGTATGACAACCAATGCACAACGACGTAATCAATCTTCAGAAATAATAATTTGATATGCACTATAGTTTTTACGGCAGTATTTCAGTGTTGATTAAAACGCGAACGCCGTCAGTGCCTCCGTCGTTTCTCGTTTGTCTATGCGACTCATGAGGATCGCGCGTGGTTGTCTGACGAAGTAGTAACATTCGGGGGGCTTCTTGTTCCGCATTCCACGTTTTTGCCCCGGCCATTGAGTACATACGTTGCTAGCGGTTTCTCGGTACAGCCCAGGGTGATGCACACGCTAATCATTTGATCAGATCGATCGACGATCAGCTTTAGTTTTTCACCGTTCGTTGATCCAGTTGAATAATCATCCCATGCCTTTTCCCTCTTTGCCCGTTGTCTGCAGTGGATGGACGGTACCCGGTGCCTTTCACGTGTTGACCGACCAGCAATTTCCGCCGACAGCTAAGCCACCGGAGCTTTTTAGATTCACAGTTGAAAATAGGTGAGTTTCAGTCTTTTGCTTTTCCTACATTCCTGGTAATTTCCGTCAGGCAGTACCGTTGATAGCAGAGAAGGAAGCAGCATAGTGTACGCTTGAATGATCGTCTAATTTTATTTATCTTCTTCGTGACAAAAGATATCCAGATGATGGCGGGCATGGAAAT